ATTCCCAATAGGGGAATTGCTGGGTCATGTGGAAGGTCAATTTCTAGTTCTTTCAGGAATTGCCACACTGTCTTCCAAAGAGGCTGCACCAGTTTGCATTCCCACCAGCAGTGTAGAGGCGTTCCTTTTTCTTCATATCCTCGCCAGCATCTGTTGTTGTTTGTTTTATTAATGGTGGCCATTCTTACAGGGGTTAGGTGGTATCTCAGTGTGGTTTTGATTTGCATTTCTCTGATGATGAATGAGGCTGAGCACTTTTTCATGTGTCTGTTGGCTACCCATATATCTTCTTTTGAGAAGTGTCTGTTCATGTTTTTCGCCCACCTCATAAAGGGGCAGTTTGTTTTTTTCCTTTCAGTGCATTTGAGTTCCTTGTAGAGCCTAGATGTTAGGCCATTGTCAGATAAACCGTTGGCAGATATATTTTCCCATTCTGTGGGCTGTCTCCCTGTTCTCTTGATGGTTTCTTTTGCTTTGCAGAAGCTCGTCAATTTGATGAGGTCCCACTTGTCTTCAACAGTGAATTTTATGGTATGGAATTATATATCAATTTTTAAAAGAAAAAGGTACTTTTTTTTGGAAGAGCATGGTGAGTCAGAAGAGGTTAGGATGCGAAATAGAACATGCAACGTCTACCAGAAGCGCAGAAAAGCCTTCAGGAGACACCAGAGAAGAAAGCTGGGGCACAAGGAGGCATAAAGACCAAGGGGAGGCTGGATGTGGTGGTGCATGCCTGTAATCCTAACACTTTGGGAGGCTGAGGCAAAAGGATGGCTTGAGTCCAGGAGTTCAAGACCTGTGTAGATAACATAGTGAGACTTCATCTCTACAAAAAATCCCAAAATTAGCCGAACATGATGGTGTGTCCCAGCCACTCAAGAGGCTGAGGTTGAGGCCACAGTAGCCATGATCATGCCACTGCCCTCTACCTTGGGTGACAGAATGAGAACCCAGCTCAAAAAATAAAATAAAATAATATAATAGAAACCAAGAGGAAAGAGTTTTGCAAGGCAAGGAAAGCCCTAAGAGATGTCTAAGGCAACACTACCCAACAGAAATTTTATATGAGCCACATATGTAATTTTAGCTTTCTAGTAACCACCTTGAAAAACGTAACAAGAAGCCGGTGAAGTGTGTTTCAATAGCAAATGTTATTTAACCCTAAATCCTTAATATGTAGTCAATATAAGAAATTATTACCAGACACAGTGGCTCATGCCTATAATCCCAGCACTTTGAGAGGCAGAGGCAAGAGGATTGCCTGAGCCTAGGGGTTCAAGACCAGCCTGGGCAACTTGGTGAGACCTTGTGTTTATAATAAATCAAAAAATTAGCTGGGTGTGGTGGTGCACGTCTGTGGTTCCAGTTACTTGGAAGGCTGAGGTGTAAGGATTGCCTGAGCCCAATAGGTCGAGGCTGTGGTGGCCATGAGTATGCCACTGCACTCCAGCCTGGGCAACAGAGTGAGACTCTAAAAAAAAAGAAAAAAAAATTATTAAAGAAATTTTTATGTTCTTTTTTGAAATCTGGTTTGTATTTGATACTTACAGCAGTTCTCAATTAGGACTAGGTATATTTCAAGTGCTTAATAAACCAACTTCCTCCTATTATTATTTTATTTTGAGTCAGAGTCTCACTCTGTCACCCAAGCTCACAGCCTCCACAGCCTCAGCCTACTGGGCTCAGGCAATCCTTCTGCCTCAGCCTTCCAAGTAGCTGGGACTAGAGGCACATGCTACCATGCCTGGCTCATTTTTTTTATTTATTGTAGTGACAAACTCTCTCTATGTTGTCCAGGCTGGTCTTGAACTCCCAGGCTCAGGCAGTTCTCTCACCTCAGCCTCTCAAAGTGCTGGGATTACAGCCATTTTATATATAGCAAAACTGAGAGCCCAGGAATGCAGTGGCTTTGCTGCCAGCCTGCTAGCAGGCAGAAGAACAAGATGATGACCCAGCATTCTTCTCTCATACCACACTGGCTTGTACTACGCCTTAGCATGACCCTGAGATCGAGGTCCCTGCCTTGTGTTAACTCAAAACCAGAAGTACTGAAACGTGCCTCTCTCTTGACATTGATGGAGGTGATAGGAGGTGAGAGATGTCAAGACATTTGTGGAAGATGGAAAGAGATGGGTTGACAGAGTGGGTAACAGGAGACAGAAGAACTTCAGGGGGATAGATAAAGAGAGCCACAGAACTCCCAAAAGGCTCTGGTGTGGGGCACCTGTATCTCAGAAGGATGGGCTGAAAATAAGCATGATTCAAAGTCTGTGTATGCAATAATTAGGCAACTTGAAAAAGAACCAATATTTTTTTATTCTAGAAATAAAAATATATAAAGTTGAACTATAAAACACAACAGAAATGAGAATTCGTAAACTCAGGATAGATAAGTAGAAATTACTTGGAAAATCAAGATAGAAGACATGAAAGAAAAATTAAAGACTTGGAAAACTAGGCCAGGCATGGTGGTTTACACCTATAATCCTAGCAGTTTGGGAGGCCTAGGTGGCAGAATTGCTTGAGCCCAGGAGTTCAAGACCAGCCTGGGCAGCGTAGTAAGACCCCATCTCCACAAAAAAATTTTTTTAAATGAGCTAGGCATGTTGGCATGCACCTGTAGTCCCAGTGACTCTGGAGGCTGAGGTAGGAGGATCACCTAAGCCTAGGAATTTGGGGATGTGGTGAGCCATGATTGTGCCACTGCACTCCAGCCTTGGTGATAGAGTAAGACCATAACTCCAAAAAAAAAAAAAAAAGACCTGGAAAATTGAACAAGATGGTCCAACATACTTTAAGCAGAACTTTCCAAGGAGACAATGAAGAAATAAAATATTTGAAGAAAAAAATGTGTGAGAAGTATTCAAAGCCAAAGAATTACATGAATCTACAGGTACTGGAGAATGTGCTCCACAAAATAGAAGAGTAACAAGAAAGGAAGACACAGAATTCTGAAAGAGGAAATCCCCCAATGGTGAAGGAGGGGACCAGCCCCCTGCCTTGGGGTGCGGCTGGGCTCACGGGAGCAAGAAGACATGGGACTCCAAAGGGGGTTGTCTAGAGAAAAAAAGTTAAAGCCTGTTCCTTGTCTGATGCATGTGATTGTGTAGAATATACTATTGAGAGGGGCTTTTACAATCTTGTTGGAATCAATGATCTGCACATCAAAGCCTATGAGAATTGGAAGAAAAGGTAACTATTAGCTCTAAAAAAAATACTAAGTTGTATAAGAAAGAAACTGGGATCATATTATAACCCCTGGTTCATCTGTGAATAGCATTTACATAATCATAAGGATAGAACCAGTAAATATCAATTTAACCAAGATCTATAATTGTTTTGGAAGGACCAGGTATGGTGGCTCACGCCTATAATTCCAGCACTTTGGGAGGCTGAGGTGAGAGGATTGTCTGAGCCTGTGGGTTCAAGACCAGCCTATGCAACTTGATGTGACCTCATCTCTACAAGAAATCAAAAATTAGCTGGGCATGGTGGCACACACCTGTAGTTAGTTACTTGGAAGGCTGAGGTAGAAGGATTGCCTGAGCCCAGCAGATTGAGGCTGTGGTGGCCGTGAGTGTGCCACTGCACTCCAACTCGGGCAACAGAGTGAGACTCCAACTCCAAAAAAAAAATTCTTTAGTTCTTGCATGTGATGCTTAATTGCTTCGACCCCACACAGTGAAAGTCATTTGTAAAAAATGTCCCAGAGAGAACTCACACTACCAATGTGTTTTTCCTTTCCAGGGTTCAGAATTGGGGTTTCCTGAAAGATTATGACCCGATGGTAAGGCAAAATATGTTCCTGCCTAACATACTTGTGATTTGAGTATTTATTCCTTCTTTCCTTCACTCAACTGACATTAATTGAGGACCCACTCTGCACTAGATATCGAATGTAGAGGTGAATAAAAACACTCGTTTCAAGAAACGCAGGATCTCGTGGGAAAGAAAGTATTTATAGGGAACATTTAGAAATATCCCTATCCTCGCCGTGTTTCTTGATTTTATTAAGATGAACCAACTGGAAGTGACAGCATGTGCTGCTGAAATTCTTCCCCTGGTTGAGGATGTCATCGATGTGTTGTAATATATGTTTGGTGTGTCCAATAAGGACAATGAGTTTAGGTAAAAATACTTTGTAAACTAATTCCCTTCCTCTAATATCGCCACCTCCAATCTATCCTCCACTTTGCCATCGGAGTAATTTCCCCAAGCTGCAAAAACTGACCACGTAACTCCCCTGATCAAAATTCTTAAATATGACATTTTCAGGGTAGCTTACAAAGCTTCCCGTGCTCTAACCCTGTCTACTTGCTCCGCCTCGTAACTCACCCAACACTGTCTTTTAAAAAAAAAAATCAGTCTTACTCTGTCACCCAGACTGGAGTGCAGTGGCACACTCAGGCTACCCCAGTGTCAACCTGTTTCCATGTCAGCCTTCCAAGTAACAGGAACTACAGGCGGGTGCTACCATGATAGTTTTTTGTTGTTGTTGTTTGTTTGTTTTATAGAGACTAGGTCTCGCCAAGTTGCCTGGGCTGGTCTCGAACCCGCGGGCTCACCCCAATGCCTCCCAAAGTGCTAGGATTACAAAGTTGAGCCACCGAGCCTGGTCATCACTGTTTTTTATTCATGCCTTTGAGCATGCTCTTTCCTCTGCCTGAAATGCCCTTCCCACCTCATCAACCTGGTAGACTTCTATTCACTCTTTAAGACCCTGCTTAGGCCGGGTGTGGTGGTTCATCTCTGTAATCCCAGGACTTTGGGAGGCCGAGGCAGGAGGATTTCTTCACCCAGGAGTTCAAGACCCGCCTGGGCAGCATAGCAAGACCTCATCTCTACAAAAAATGAAAAAAATTAGCTCCACTGTCTGGGTGTGAGGCAGACTTCAGTAGGCAGAATGCTGTCACATAACCCCTTGGCAGGGAGCACTCTTACAGGCTAGGAGCCTGGACCGGAAGTCAGTGCCAGATTTCAGGTCCCATGAGTGAAATTCCCTTCCAGGGTAGACAGCAGCAAGCCCACTAAGTCCATGATGTGGACATGAAGCTTCTCTCAACCTTACAAGGTCCACATCAACATGACCACTGCCTGGGAAGACTTACTGCTCACTTTCCAGACTGGTTCTTTGACCATTCTTTTTAGAGCAAGATTCATTTGTCCCCTCACCCAGCATGAACTGACTATTAACTCTTTTATGGTCTCTGGTGAATGGGGCATATACTGGAGGCGGGGAGCGCAGTGATGGATCCATTTTCATCCTTTCTCTTAAGGAGATCACAGTCTGGAGAAATTGGACATTGCAACATCACGTTACGTGCAGTGCTCAAGGGATAGGTAAGATAAGCTGATGAATCAAGGAGTGATCTGGTCAAGCCTGCTGGGAAGGGGAGATTTCCCCTTAAGAAGAGAAGGCCCTTAAGCTTGAGTCAAAGTCTCACTCTGTCACCCAGGCTGGAGTGCACTGGCATGATCAGAACTCCCTGCAGCCTTGACCTTCTGAGTTCAGGCCATCCTCCCACCTCGGCCTCCTAAGTAGCTGAACTTCAGGCACTTGCCACCATGCCCTAATGAGCAGGTGGAGGCTGCGGTGGCCGTGAGCATGCCACTGCACTCTAGCTTGGGTGACAGAGTGAGACTCCGACTCAAAAACAAAACAGAAAAACAAACAAAGGTGAACTAATGTTAACCAAAGATTATGGGCATTGATCCAGGCATGCCCGGTCTGGTCTGAACCAGCCCTGGAGGCTGACTGGCTCAAGGAAGAGTGGCCAAGAACATTCACTGTGCGCAGCTACAAGATGGGGTCAGCAGGCAGGAGAACCCTTCATCCACGGCCTCAGCATGACCTGTGTGTCCAGGCATGGAGCCTGAGGTGAAAGGGCCATCTTGTTGGCCGCCCCCAGGACCCCTCCCTGGATTCCAACATCCTGCTTGGGGCCATATCCAAGGTGTGCTCATGTTGTCACTGAGTGTGTGTTGCTCTACAACTGGTCATGCCAAAGCACCCAGAGACGCTTCAGACAGAGCAGCCATCTGCTCTCTGCTCTGTTCTCTTGCTCCCTCGAGGTCCCCAATAGCATGCAAGTCCCTCCCCTTTCCCATGCAGTGTGTGACCCAGACTGTCCCTTCCCCTCAGGGCAATAAGAAGGAGCCTGAGAAGTTGCCAGACTATGTGCCTCTCTTTTCGGACACAGCCCCCAATTCCACGAATCAGGTCGTGGGCAGCAGGCTGGACACGCCCCTAGGGAAAACTCTCATTGGCATGGACTTCTTCTTCATGGAAGGGGCCCGGAAGAAGAAGCTGGAAGATGAACTACAGCCCATCTAGGAGTGAGGAGGACTCGCCAGCCTTCCCCAGGTGGGTGTGGGTGGAGATGAGAGACACCTAGCTGACCCTAACCCCCAATGGCACCAGGCAACATCCCACACAAGACAGCCTTGGTCTTCACTTCTCCAAACCCCATGACAACCTTTAAGGGGGCTCTATGGCTCATTTTCACATGTTTTTGTTTTTTCACACACGTGGTTAAGAGGACTCAAGTAACGTGCCCAAGGCCATATAACCTCCAGTTCTTCTGGCTCAGAAACCCATGGATGCCCCATTAAAGGGAGCCCTGTACTGCGGTCAGGAGCATTGACTGCCTAGGATCAAATCCTGCTCCTGGGCCAGGCGCAGTTGCTCACAGCTGTAATCCCAGCAGTTTGGACAGCTGAGGCAGGAGAGTGACTTGAGCACAGGAGCTTGAGACCAGCATGAGCTACATAACAGGACCTGGTCTCTACAAAAAAATTTTTTTTTAATTAGCCGAGCATGGGGGTGCATACCTTTAGTCCCAGTTACTCGGGAGTCTTAGGTGGAAGGATCACCTGAGCCCAGGAGATCGAGGGTGCAGTGAGCTTGGTCATGCCACTGTACTCCAGCCTGGGTGACAGAGTGAGACCCCCAACTCAAAACCAAAAACAGGCCAGGCTTGGTGCTCAGCCTGTAATCCCAGCACTTTGGGAGACCCAGGCAAATGGATTGCCTGAGCCCACAGTTCGAGATCCGCCCAGGCAACTTGGCGAGACCTCATCTCTACAATAAAGCAAAAACTAACCAAGTGTGGTATCGCGCGCCTATAGTTCCAGCTACTTGGAAGGTTGAGGCAGAAGGATCGCCAGAGTCCAGCAGGTCGAGGTTGATGTGGCCAGGAGCATGCCACTGCACTCCAGTCTGGGCAACAGACTGAGACTCCAACTCAAAAAAAAAAAAAAAACCACACCAACAACAAATAAATACAGCTTCAGGTGGCTAAGCCAGTGCATCCAGGAAGGAAGCATTGAGCACTTCTCTCACAGGCTCCTTGAGGAAGAGTAGGAGGGCCAGGGACCAGCATCACTTCTGCCATTCCTGGAAGCAGAGACGCATGTAGGCAATGTGAGCAGACACTCTGTGATGGTCACATTACCCACGTCTCTTTTGTTAGGTATTATTGTCACCATTTGAGAGGTTTGGAAACTAGGCCAAAGACTTCATTCACCTGGTCAGGGTCACACAGCTAGTGAAGAGCCAGAAGTCTGACTTTATGCTGCATCCCCCTCTTAAGCCTCAGTCTCCACAGTTACTAAATGTGGGAGAGAGAAAGTAGACGGATTCTAAGGAGATTCAGCTCTGAGCATTCAAGGAGTACTAAAGAACATGGGTGTTTGGGTCCTTTTACAGAGTGCACGAGTCAGCTCAATATCGCTGTGTAACAAACACTCCACTGTTTGCTCACAGGTCTGCATGTTCCTGGGGCTTGACTGATCTTGGCTGGACTCAGCTAGACTTGGTTCCACATTTCAGGTTGGGCACAAGTCTTTCCTCCATGTCTGGCATTCTCCTGAACTGACAGCCTCCTGGAGCACATTTTCCTCATGGCTCATCACCACAGCACAAAGGCCCAAGTGAACCATGCAAGCACACTGAAGAGGCTTTGCATGCAAAGCCTCTTTCTCCACCCTCAGCCAACCTATCTGGCTGCACCCCCCTCGAGTGGCATCATCATGGTATACCCCTCCTCACAACCACTCCATTCACCTGCACTAAAGTCCTGATGTCAGCCTCTCGCCTCACAAGGGAAGTTGGATTGGCCAGGAAGCCTCTAGGTCCAGGTTGTGGAGACATGGGCCCCGAGCCTGCAGGGTCAGCCCCGGCAAAAGAAAACGGGGGGTGTCATCAACAAGAGCTGGCCTCTCGGATACAATGGACCAGGAAGCAGCAGGACTCCAGGTGGGGGCTGGAATCAGGAGCTGAGAGTCACAGTAAATCCCGGAAGGATGCTTTCTCCACTTGTTATCATGGCTTCTCTGAGTACATCTGGCTTATGCTCTTGTCTGAGGCAGAACCAGCATCTCTGCTTCCATGTGATCAAAAATGCCCAGCAGCCACAAACGCAAAGGTGTGCCAGGAAGTGAGGAAGAGTTCAAAAATGATGAGGATGTGTAAAAAGTTCATAAGAGGCTGGTCTCGGTGGCTCAGCCTGTAATCCCAGAACTTTGGGAGGCCGAGGCAAGTGGATTGCCTGAGCCTGCGGGTTGGAGACCAGCCCGGGCAACTTGGTGAGACCTCGTCTCTACAAAAAATCAAAAATTAGCCGGGCGTGGTAGTGCATGCCTGTAGTTCCGCCTACTTGGAAGGTTAAGGTGGAAGGATCACCAGAGTCCAGCAGGTCGAGGCTGCAGTGGTCGGGAGTGTGCCACTGCCCTCCAGCCTGGGTGACAGAGTGAGACTCTGACTCAAAAAAAAAAAAAAAAAAATTATGTAAGAGCCAACTTAAATTTGGGCCAACGTGAGCATCAAAATGAAGTACAGTAATAGCCCATCCCTGATCACGCCCGTGGCAGCCCATTCCCACACCCCACTGAATAACAGAAATAATGATAATAATAACAAAGACTCCATGAGTTCATACCAATACTTTTTTAATCTTAAGTACTGTAGAAAAACTCCTTTGTACTGAAGACTACAGAATATGACAACAGAAAAATCACAATTATAGCAATAACTGATTTAGGCAAGGATCAATAAAAGACACTAAAACTAAGGTCAGGGATGCTTAGGGTAAGCGAAAATGCTGAAATCTAGAAGATACAGCTTCAACCAAGTTATCAAACGTAACCTCACCAATAGCAGGACAGCTGACACAATGTGCTTCATGTGATAAATTGAGGATGACACCACCTGCCAAAAACACTTCTGCCAAAAAATGTGTAGGCTGTGGACAGTGGCTGACTACCTGTAATCCCAGCACTTTAGGAGACTGAGGGAAAACCATTGCTTGGGTCCAGGAGTTTCACACCACCCTGGGTAACATATCGACACCTCAGCTCCACAAAAAAGAAAATGTTTTAAAATTAGCAGGGCATGGTTGCACATTCCTGTAGTCCCAGCTACTCGGGAGGTTGAGGTAGAAGGCTCACCTGAGCTCAGGAGGTTAAGGCTACAGTGAGCCATGATGGTGCCACTGCGCTCCAGCCTGGGCAACAGAGTGAGGCCCTGACTCAAAAAAAAAAAAAAAAAGTAACTGGAGTGTAATCAGGAGGAAACTCCAGGCAAACCCAAATGGAGGAACGTTCTGCCAAATAACTGACCTTGAATCCTCCAAACTATCAATATCATAAAAGACAAAGTAAGGCTGGGGGAGTGACTCAGACCCTGATCCTTGACCAGCTCCTGGGCCAAGGTAAAAGCAGCTCTAAAGGACACTTTGCAGCCAGGCATAGTGGCTCATACCTGTAATCCCAGCACTTTGGGAGGCAGAGATGAGAGGATTGTCTCAGCCCACGGATTTGAGACCAGCCTGGGCACCTTGGTGAGACCTCGTCTCTACAAGAAATTGAAAAATTAGCCGGGCACAGAGGTGCATACTTATAGTTCCAGTTACTTGGAAGGCTGAAGCAGAAGGCCCACCTGAGCCCAGAAAGTCAAGGCTATGGTGAGCCATAATCATGCCACTGCACTCCAGCCTGGGCGACAGAGTGAAACTCCTCCCCCATACCGCCCCCAAAAAGACACTTTGCAGACTTTTAAGTGTTAGGTAATGGACTGAATATTAGCTAACAGCACTGTGTCAGTGTTAACATGTGGAGCGTGGTGCTTTCATAGATGCTCTGCGGAAGAAGCTCTCGTTCCCAAAGGCTGTTATTGCTGGCGTATCCAGCCAAACACCATGATGTCCATCGCAAACTTGCAAATGGCTTAAAAAATGTGTGTGTTGTGTGAGTAGAGACAGATAAAATGAATAAAGTCAACAATAGGATTTCCTGTTTCCTGTGATACCTGGACGTGAGATCTGAAGTGATGAAAGTCTCTGGCGCGTTAGTGGGGTTCTCCATGCTCTTTGTGTTGACCGATGGTTTCGAGGATGTGGCTGTAACCTGTAGTGAACAGTGGCTGCACGTCGGACTTAAACGAAAGCCTTATTTGAATTACCAGCTACTCCAGCCATATGAACTCTATCTAGGAACTGGCTGTCCTGTAACTGGAGGGTTATTGGCGTTTTTTGAATTCTTTTATCCTGTCTTCTTGTGGGATCAAAATTAATGGGGGTATTCCCATTAAAAGTTCAATCACGCCGGGCTCGGTGGCTCAGCCTGTAATCCCACGCCTTTGGGAGGCTGAGGTGAGTGGATTGCCTGAGCCGGCGCGTTCGAGACCCGCCTGGGCAGCGAGACCTCATCTCTACAATAAATCTAAAAATCAGCCGGGCATGGTAGCGCATGCCTGTAATTCCAGCTACTCGAAAGGCTGTGGCGGAAGGATCGCCGGAGCCCAGCAGGTCGAGGCTGCGGTGGCCGGGAGCGGCCACTGCACTCCAGTCTGGGCGACCGAGTGAGACTCCAACTCAAAAAAAAAAAAAAAAAGTTCAATCACTTATGAACCAGCAAATTTAGATATCAGTGGTCACTTCCCAGTATCATGCTACATTCAAAGAAGGTTCTCATTCAATTTTATGAAAAAAAAGTGAAACATAACATTTGTGGGTTCAAAAGGTCAACGGGAAAGAAAAGCTCAACTTCACATCACATGTCAACTTCAGGAGTGACATCTTGGAATATTTTTTTCTGGTGGATTGAGTAAATTGCATCTCTCCAGATTAAGTGTAGGAATAAAGCTTTTATATTCTGGACCGGGTGGCAACCTTATAAAACCTGGCACTGGCTGGTCAAGGAGTGGACTGCCTATTGGAGACTGGACAAATGCCTGAGGATATCATCTTTTACCTATTTAGAAATAATCTTTTTAAGAGAATTTGCTCTGCAAGCTCTTTTGGTAGGACAAAAAATAAGCTTCCCCAGATTTTAAGTTTCTAATACCCATATTTCTAAGAATAAAATCTTGTGAGATTTTTTTTTTTTTTTTTTTGAGAAACTTGTCCATGGCAGGTCTTTCTGCCATGAATCTTTGTTTTTCCTTCTCACCAATAAACTCTGTTTAAAACTTTGCTGGCCACTCTGAAATTCATTTTAGGTATGAGCCAAAGAATCCAGCAGTTTTGCACTGCACCCCACCTGGCATCACAACTATGACTTTCTACCCACCCTGAAGCCTACGTGCAGTTTTTTCATGACTCAAGACTTACATTAACAGTTTTTGATACATGACCACTGATATGACACAAAGCCTCCTGGTCGTGTTGACAGGAAGAAAAAACAAATTAAGTTTTGTAATTTTAAAAAACGTCAACAATAAATTCATCTAGGTGTAGAGCGCACGCTCATTCATTGTACTATTCTTGCAGCCTTTTGAAAACATGAATGGGGGGGTGGCCACCACGATGGCTCCTGAGTTTACATCTCCTCTGTTAGAACAGCGGGGTGGGGGGAAATCGCAGAATCAGTTCGTGCTCAAGTCCCCCTCCGGTCCCCCACCCTGCTGCACCCCCACCCCGAAGAGATTTCTTGGCCAGCTTCAGTCAGGAAGCTGACTCACTCTGTTCAGCTGTGGCTTAGGAGTGAGCTCAGACTCCCTTAAGGGACTGTGACCAGGGGCGCCGTGTAGACGGGGAGACAAAGGTCTCAGATACGGGGCACTCTATTGCGCTGGAGAGATATTCCAGTGGGTATGCACAGTGGAGACCCCCACCCAGACATTACAACGGTTCCTGAAGAAGCAGAGGAGCCTTGAAGATCAGCTGCTGTGATGCCATCATATGGGCAGAAGAGCTGGCATGCCAGCTGGAGCACAGGACAGGGACACAAACACCTCCCCACAGGACCCAAACATGACTCCTCCTAGGAACACCCACTCTGGCCTCTACAGCTCCAAGAGCAAAGCCAGTGTCTACAAATCCCAACAACGTTTTGCTAGTTTGCCCCTGCTCTGTATCTTGCAATAATCTTCTTAGGTGGGGATAGTTTTTCCCATTTTAAAATGAAGAAACTGAGGAAGTTAAGGTTTGTCCAAAATCACGCAGCCTGGCCGATCTGGGTGGCTCAGCCAGTAATCCCAGCACTTTGGGAGGCCAAGATGAGGGGATTGCCTGAGCCTGCAGGTTTGAGACCAGCCTGGGTAACTTGGTGAGATCTCGTCTCTACAACGAATCAAAAATTAGCCAGGCATGGTGGCGTGCACCTGCAGTTCCGGCTACTTGGAAGGCTGAGGCAGAAGGATCGCCGGAGCCCAGCAGGTCAACGCTGAGGTGGGCTGTGAGCGTGCCACTGCACTCCAGCTCGGGCGACAGAGTGAGACTCCGACTCAGAAAAAAAAAAAATCACAGCCTGTAAGGGTGAGAGGACAGCTGAGTTCTGCCTGACCGCAGGCAGCTTCCTTGTCCTTGGCCAGGTACAGCGTTGTCCCACAACAGAGAAGGCTCACGCCCTTTGTGGTCCTGGGAGTACTCATATCTCATTAAGGTCATACTGCAAGCATCTCCAAACACTAGGGGCAGGCTGGGCCCTAGGTGGGAGTTAGCTCTCTTCTAGCTAGTCCTGGGGTCCAGATCCTGACCACTGCTAGAATAAAGAGAGGTGGGGCAGAAGGGGAGAAGGAAGAAGGAGGAGCCAGCATCAGGTGACCGGGACCAGGCACTTCCAACCAGGACCGCCTCCTTGCTTCAAGGGATATGTCAAACGACCTAATGAAGCCGAGTATGGTGGCTCACACCTATAATCCCAGGCTGAGGTGAGAGGATGGCCAGAACCCAAGGGTTCGAGACAAGCCTGGACAACTTGGTGAGACCTCATCGCTACAATAAATAAATAAAAACTAGCATGGTGGCTCACATCTGTAGTTCCAGTTACTTGGAAAGCTGAAGTGGAAG